CAGACTCGACATTGGGATTCAGACATTTTGACGAGGGACTATTTGGGCCTGTGCCGAAGACTTGGTGTTGATGACATTCCCATCTTCCCCTCTTCTTCGTCTAACCCCCCTCTTCTTCGTCTGTGTATGGTTGGGGCTGGCGTAGTCTTCCTGTGTGCGCGCCAGACCCCGTTCACACCATGGAATGATGATGATGATGTATGTTCGGGGCTGCATTGCAATATTGATTGTTCGGATCATTGGTATCTAAGTTTTCCGCTGCGCTATCTCGTACTTTGTTAGAGAGGTCGGTTCTTGTTCTGGTCTGCTCCGTTACAGTATGCAACATCTATGGAGGCTTTCCGTCTTGCGTCCAAAATGAAGGTCAATTGGAGCAAGACCGAAGGATGGTGGCTTGCAAACCAGACGCCCCCCCAGCCCGAGGGCACAGCTATACCCATGGTGTGGTCCACAGGCGAACAAGCACTCAGATACCTGGGCATCATGGTCAATAGGGACGGGGTGTGGCCGGGGATGGGCCATGGCTTAATTGCCAAAGCCATAACCTGCCTGGCCCCGAGCAAGAACGCACTGGCATCGCTGTTCGGGAGGGCATTAATTATAAACACAGCCATCTTCTCCACACTGTGGTACATCGCATCCATCTGGTCCCCCCCGGACGCCGACTTCCAAACCATAAAGGCCAGAGCAAGATGCTATCTATGGATGGGGGACCCCAGCCAGACCTCATGCATCAACAGGGTAGCATGGAGCCACATCATTAGGAAACTGCAGGAGGGAGGCCTAGGCCTAATTGACCCCAAGCAGGAGGCAACAGCACTACAGATGAAATGGGTCATTAAGATCCTGACCAGACAATACCTACCTTGGACCAAGATGGCCCTAGACAGCATAAGAAACCCAGCACCGATAAGGTCCCCACCAAACATGAGCGGCTACTTCTGGATTATGGCAAAGGAGTGGACAATTAGATCAGGCAGATCCCGCAGAACCACCACACGAAACTCAGACAATCAAGCAACCCCGACACCCAATCCGTACTGAACTCCGACTCTGAAGGCCTGGGGGCGTATGAGGCCAAGCAAACATGGCACAGCAGAAACCAAAGAGGAGGTCCTGAGACAACTGCTGTTTTGCAATGATTGGATCAAGGACCCCGAGGGTTGGCCATGGTCACTAAGAATTAAGGACCGAAGATGGCTGTCGTGGGTCGAAAAAGGGGTGTGGCAGGTTAAGCACCTGTGGGCAGAAGAACGGGGAGAATGGCGGAAGGAACAAGAACTCCGAAACACTCTAAAAGGCTGGCACACTCTCGCAGAAAACCTACTCGCAATCCAGAAGAGCATCCCACCCCCATTGAATTCGCCTCTTGAAAGAGGACTTCTCCTGGAAACCAGGGGACTGGGGTATACTTGTCTCCCAAACTTCACCAAACAGAGCATACCGGTTTGTATTCCGCACCTCAACCACCGGCTACTGCTCCAAATTCTGCTCCTAGCCTATCGCCAGCCTAAACCTTCAGGAACTAGCCATCCTTAACAGAGAACCTCAGCTAGAGACGATAGAGTCCTTCCTACTGAGAAAAGTGAGGGTGTCGAAAACCAAACCATGGGTAATCTTCCAGCCTGACCTCAGCATCGCAGAGCTCGAATTCGACCCGAAGGAGTGGGTCTGGAAACAAAGCAATCCGGAAAAACCAGGAAGATAGTGGAATACGACATGAAATTCGGGTACAATCTAGGCCTACAGACCACGGATCCTAACCCCAAACTCGAAAACAGATGGATATCCTCAATATCCATCCCCTGGACAAAATACCTCCCCATAAGACCTGCCAGAATCCGTAGCTTACAATGGCTCCTAGCCCATGCAGCACTCCCTGTCAACCAGTGGCTCTACAAAAGAAGAAAACACTCAGACCCCAACAGCTCGGAACTATGTGTTATGTGCGATGATAGCCAACAGCCTCAATATCCATCCCCTGGACAAAATACCTCCCCATAAGACCTGCCAGAATCCGTAGCTTACAATGGCTCCTAGCCCATGCAGCACTCCGTGTCAACCAGTGGCTCTACAAAAGTAGAAAACACTCAGACCCCAACAGCTCGGAAGCGATGACAGCGTTGCTGAAGACATCCCCCACTGCCTCCTATACTGCAGCCAGGCAGCCTGGATATGGAACAAAGTCCGAAACTTATGGCACCACCTCTTCTCATCCCCTCCCCCCAACCTCACCCCCCAGAACATCTTACTTCTCTCTAACATCCCCGACAGTCTCAGAGGCGGAAAAGCAGTCTGGTTTCATATGCTCAGGAAACTAGCTTTGTGGCTCATATGGAAAAGGAGATGCACCAAGACAATCGAGGGCTCAGAGGTAGCCAAGGAGGAAATGTGGATCCTCCTGTTGAGGATGGTGGAAACGGAGATCCGACGCAGGTGGAGGAGTATACCGACAGCAATGAGAGGCAAACCAGACAGACTCGTAAACAGGAGAAGAATCTTCACGAGAGACTGGACGCTACAGGAAAAGATTGCGACAGTCTCGGACAAAAAACTACAGTAGAAGAAATGGACTCTCCAACAACGACAAGAGACGTAGCCCCGAGTGGGACAAACTGAGGTTCTAGCCTCAGGAGGATAGACATCTCTCCCGGCTTTCTTGTGCTGTATGACCAATAAGACAGAACCAGCAGGGTGTCTGAGAGGAAAGCAAGGGTAGGGCAAGCTGACAGTCAATCCTCCTATACAGGAGTAATCAATGCTGGTCAGGGAACCTTCGGCCGGACGGAAGGAAGCGTGAGTGTGTACTGTGATGTATTCAGTTTTGACTTGCCGGGGGAATAGGAACCGGACTGACGCTCCCCAGAATGGACATGGAGCCAGGACCAAACAAAAAAAAACAAAAAACAAAAAAAAAAGTTCAATTCTCCATCCAAACTTCCAGAGAGGTTCAGGAAAAGCCTCCCATGGGGTGTTTTGTGACCAGGAGAGGGCTGGTCTGTGGTGTGTCTAGCATGAGCAGCAAGAACTCTAGGTGTTCGCCACTTCATCGGATGGCGGGTTCCCGGGCAGGGTTGTTCTTCTCCACAATGCGTCCTGGGTGCAGCAGACCATCGCAATCTGGTCGGTCCCGATTTTGGTCTACATGAATGCATATGTACTGTATGCTCCTTAACTCCACTGCGCCCATGATGAAGTTCAATGCCCCCTCTCCCCCCTGCCCCCCAACCACGCAAAGCAAACAGATGTAATGAACCCCCACAGTCCCATGACTAGCTTTGGTTGTCAGTATCATTCTGATTCTCTGAAGGTCTATTGTTCTGGGAGCAGCCATGTTCTTAAAATCGATTGAAATTTGATCCGGCTTCAGCTTTAATAGGCTTTGTTTGTCAAAAAGAGAGCTTCTTACCTAATGGAAGAATTTGCCAGCTTTCCTGACTGCCCCCTGCAAATTTGTGCTTCAGAGTGGGGTGCTGGAATATGAAACCTTGCTGGGAGAGAGCTACGGGTTCAGTTCATTAAATTGGGGGGAGGGTGGGAGGGGGGGAGGCCGTAGAAGTCTGAAGTTCAATTGCGAGGTCTTTGCTATAGTTCCCTTTTGTTCTGGGCTCTGTAGGCTGATTTCCCCTTTTAAAAAACTAGTAGGTTTTGATAATGTTGTAACTCCAAGAAAAAAAAAAAAAAAGAAGGATTGGGGTGAAGACCGTAGCAGCAGCTGCCTCAGGCATCCACAGGGGATCAGAGCCTCGGCGGAAGCAATATATCTCTGCGGCCAGTCCATTATCGAATACACACTGCCTTGCGCTCTTGCCTAGTGCTGGAGTTGTGTGCCACGGTGCTCTGTTGCCTTCCACCAGAGAGAGATGAGAGAGAGTGCTTCGGGATCCAGCCACAGCTAGAGGTAGGCGAGCAATTGTTGGCAGCTAGTTGAAGGAGGAGGACAATGGTTGGGAAAGAGAGGAAGACTGGGAGAGATACGGCCAGTCCATTATTGAATACACACTGCCTTGCGCTCTTGCCTAGTGCTGGAGTTGTGTGCCACGGTGCTCTCCTGCCGCCACCAGAGATAGATGACAGGGAGTGCTTCAGGATCCAGCCACAGCTAGAGGTAGGCGAGCAGTTGTAGACAGCTAGTGGAAGTAGGAGGACAATGGAGGGGAAAGAGAGGAAGACTGGGAGAGATACTTGAGAGAGAAAGAGGAAGCCAGAGAATGAAGGAAGCTTACCTGGTGACTGGCAGCCATAGCTGCATCGAGGAAGACGACTCTGGGGCTACATGGGATCGGCATTCTTCAGTCTAGATCATTCTTGTTGTGCTGGACCTCTGCGAGGGCTGGTGAGTAGACAGTGACCAGACTTCCGCCGAGCAGAACGCTCGATCATTAGAGCTGCATTTGGTGCAACTTTCAGTCTAGATACAGCAATAATGACTGGGCGTTCTATTCTGGTGAAGACATAAGTTGGAGCGAGGGGGTCGCGTTAGCCCAGGATAGATGACAGATTGCGATTGATAGAGAAGACTCTGAAGGAGAAGCGGACAGAAACTGAATCGAGAGGAAGCTGAGACTCATATGCACTGCCATTTGCTGCTTCTAGGGATGCAGCAAATGGGGGTTTGGTTCAAGGCTTCATTGATGTTGCTTTGGAGGTGATTACGCTTCATTGCACCAAATGAGGAACTCCATCGCTGGATGTTCCTAGCACTTGAAGGGCCCCTTGCACTGGCTGGATGTGCCCTAACTGTTAGGGGCCCTTCGGCTCATGGCACTGGCTATGGTGGGCACTCAATCATGGACTTCTTCATATGGTTCAGCAGTTGAAGGGGCCCTTCAATTGTTAGCGCAGCACATCCAGCGCAATATGCATGGTGTCAGAAGATTCGATTGAGGCAGGAAATCTTCCCTCACCAGACTGGAGGGATAAAAAAGTACCACCAGTGTTGGAATTTGGGGTCCTCTCTTCATTTGCCGCCACCTGTTCAATTAGTAGGTAGGCGTTTTGCTGCTCTGTCGCTCTAGGACTCACCCAACCAATCGGGGTCCCCTCTTTCATTTGCTGCCACCTGTTGTGCGTTTTTCTGCTCTGTAGGTGTAGGACTCACCCAGCAGCAAACGGTGGAGTAGGCATGACGCGGCCGAGGAAGAAGAAGGTGGTCCTGGCTATGGTGGGAGCTGTCCTGGCTATTGAGGGGAACATTGCTAGGGTATGCCGTTGCCTTTCCGCATGGAACCATTTTTGGATTTGAGCTCAGGACCTGCTGAGAAGCTCGTCTTTTGGCTTTTAAAGACATGCTGCTCAGCAGGTCATAAGCTCAAATCCTGAATGGTACACAATACTAATCACGTGCACGTGTTGATGAACAGGTGACGAGTTCAAATCCTGGTGACAAACATGACAGTTTTCTCTGTGACCATTTCGGGATATTGCTGCGCTGAACGACAACATCATGTTTGTCTATCCCTCAACGACAACGAAGCCCGAACTTCACTCCATGCCCAGTTGGGCGATGTACATATATAACCAAGGATCCGCAATGTGATGAAAAGGACTGAATGGACAATGGAGTGCTAGTGGAATCTCAACAAGCAGTGTACATCCTGATACATACAAAAATGGTGCTTTGTAGCGCAGTGGAAGACTTAGATATAAGTCCTGACCTGACCGGGACTGACCTCTATCACGTAGTGCAAGACAGTGCAGCAGAATGCTAGAATACCAATGACTAGCCCAATCAATGTCGCAACGCAGACCAAACATACATCATCCTCATCACAGGGTGTGAAGGGGCCTGGCGCTACACACAGGAAGAATGTGCCAGGTCCAGATCATGCACAGACGAAGAGGAGGGAATCAGACGAAGAAGAGAGGAGGGGGGGAGATGGGAATGTCGTCAACACCAAGTCTTCGTTACAAGTCCCAAATAATCCCTCGTCAAAATGTCTGAAGCCCAATGTCGAGTCTGGATCCAAATGTCACCAATCCCGCTCTCTCGTAGTCTGCTGATGCAGTGAAGTCAGGTAGCGAGAGGGTGAGAGGGAGATGGTGGACTGAGAAGAGGAAGAAGAAGAACTCTCTCTCTCTCTCCCATGTGCCAGGTACTAACCTGTGAAGATGGCGCTGTGCTGCAGGTACCTCGAAGACGAAGCTGGAGCTATGGTGCTGCAGGTAAGTCTCCCTGGCCTCCGCCCAATCTCTCTCTCTCTCCAGTACTACCCTAGCTCCTACTAGCGCCCGGCGCTGAAGACTACTGCAAACGCTACTACTCCTGCAGCGCGCCTCCAGAGTGCTGCTGCCGAATCCTGAAGACTACCTCCTGCCTCCTGAACTGCACGTGAAGTGCCTGGGAAGTCCCTATGAACTACCTGCAGCCTGCAGGGCGGGCCAGTCCTATATAGTGCTGGCCCGTCCAGGAAGCTGCTCTTGCCAATGCCAAAACGTGCCAGACCCTGGCGTTGAAACTCAAACAAAGGTTGTCTTGAAAACAGGCCCAAAATGGCCTGTGCTAAAACCCTGGTCTGGTGCCTGAGTTTCAGGGCAGGTCGATCTTATGAGGGCCTGAAAATGGCCCTCCGTTTCAGGCTGAAAAGACTCAGGGCCTGGAGGGCCCTGTTTTAGGCTGAAATGACACAGGGCCTGCAGGCCCTTGTTTTCAGGCTTCCAGGCTGAAACGACACAGAGCCTGTAGGCCCTTGTTTTCAGGGTTTCAGGCTGAAAACGTCACGGGCCTGAAAATGGCCCGTGCAGCCTGTTGCAGGCGCAACATGTAACAACGAGACTATGCAAGGCTGCTACTCACTTGCCATCTGACGTAGGGTCCAAGTGGGATAACAAGCGACAGCGCGCCAGCACCCATGAATGCAACGGCAAAGAAGCAGCAGGGATGTGCCCTGCGCCTGTGCACTCCAGGGATGATTCCGCCTGTAAAGGGACCCTGGCTATACCTTAAGTAGCTTTTTACAAGTTTGAGGGGGGTTTTGTGGGTGTTGTCTGCCTGCAAAAGGCAATAATGATTCTGCAAAGGTGGTAACTACTAACTTGAGCTCGCTCCATGTTAACGATGTAGAGGGACGCTGGACCCGATTTCCAGCAGCTCCCCACCAACGGAAGGGAGCCATCCGCAAACGGGGTAAGTGGAGGAGGAGGGGGTGTCTGCTCTTATCAGCAGCCTCACCCACGCCCACCCGCCGTCGATGTTTGAATGAATTGAAAAAGAAAAGGAGTTAGGAGTCGGTGCCCAACATAAATGACAAATGTCACCTTCCTTGTTGCAGCAGCAATGACGCCCACAACAGTTTACATATCCCTTCGTTTTTTCCTTTTTTCCCCCCTTTTTTTTTTTTTTTTTGTCTTACAGTCTTTGACAGAACTTCTCAGGACATTATGTGTGTATGGGTGATTTACTGATTCTGCTGTGGCATGCTCAGAAGGCACCTGCAATCAGTTTCCCCATCTGAATGATACGGCCTACCTAGTAATTATGCGCTTTTATGATGTGCAGGCATGGGGCAGGATGGAGCAAGAGGAATTCAACTTTGAGAGGGCTCGTTTGCTGTTCTCTAGAGCCATTGAGTCCAATCCTCAGAACTCGGGTGCGTGGCTGCAGTTGGGTCTTTTGGAGAGGGAAAGAGGTGAGTAGCAGGTTGCTCCATCCTGACTCCTGAGTGAAGAGATCTCTTCCTGCAGATCCATGGACTAACTCCTCCTTTGCAGAGATGGTATTCACTTACCACCAAGAACTTCCATATTACTGAGATAACACCAAGGACTTCGTAGTAAGTTCATACTACTGTCTTCCCCGGAATACAGCGTACTGTCACTCTAGCTTTAGTTATTGCAACTTTTCACTCTAAGATATAGCGAGAATGACCATATGTTCTATTGGGAGGAAGGTGGTCTGTCCGTCCATTTGTCTTCCCGTCCGTCCGTTTGTCCATATGTGTGTTGTGTGTGTGTGTGTGTGTGTTTGTGTGTGTGTGTGTGCACGCACACGTGCATGCGTGTGTGTGCATGTGAGTGTGCACGTGTGTGTTTGTGTGTGTGTGTGTGTGTAGATGTAGGTCCTTATGTCTGTCCGTCGATTCGCCTTCCCATTTGTCCATCCGTCCATCCATCCATCCATTCTCCTGTTATTCATGTTTGTGCAATCACCCGCTCAAATATGCCTATGTCGTC